CCTTTGTTTGAGATTCACCATTTACCTTAGAATCATGTTAATCCCTAAAATTTATGCAATCTGCCAATGATGAATTTAGCATTTAATTGTAAGTGTTTTTGTCTTGTATAAGTTTTGCTTGAACCAAGGTGTAATGGAAGAGTAAAGATTTAAGAAAAAGCATAGTATAAATTACTCACACTTTTAAGATTACTTGCCCAAAATCCTATAAGACAGAGGATGTGAAAACATAGTATCCGGCTCTCGTATTGATTTAATGTTTCTTTCTCCTTTCTTAAAGCATTCTAGTATCATGTATTTGATTTTCTGCAACTTTTCAATTGCAAGACACATGCATTTAGATTGTATATACTTTTCAGTACCCGATGTTCTGTTTCCTGCTAAAATGGGTATAAATTTCGATGCTGTTGGTGTCTCTTGTACGAGATTGCATATCTTGTCAGGTTCATTTATGTGCAATCAAACATTGAGGATGAAAAGAAGTCTACTAATCCTTAATCTTGAGAAGAGAACACTGAGAAAACTCCTCACATTCATTGATGATGTCTTTGATGAAGACGAGATCCCCTTGCCATATAATCTACCTGACGACATGAAGGAGGGGGCCTTTGCAATCCATACAATGGATGATGGCGAATCGAGGAGGTTTGTTATAGAGTTAAGTTACTTAGCTCACCCGGGCTTTCTGAAACTGTTACAGCAAGCAGAGGAAGAATTCGGGTTTCAGACAAAAGGGTGTTCTTGCTGTCCCTTGTCGTTATGGTGACGTTTAAAGACTTCTTGAAAGCAAGAAGGAAAATTCGGGATGGTGATTCAATAATCTGTTGTCTTACTAGATGGTTGCATCTGTTTGTTATATTAGTATTCTTGGATAGAGCCTTGTAATTTTAATGGGTTGTCCAATGTTGTATTGGAAAGTATCTATGATTGATTGAATTACTTTACACTTTAGAAATGGTTTTAAGATAGATTTGAGAGGGAATTTTATTACTGCATTTGCTGTTCTGTAGTTTTCATGTTTTATGCTTGCTTCTGTGAATTGCATTATTTGGATAATGTTCATCCACAATGGTTGAAAATTGGAAGTGTAAATATTTTATCCTACGTATAATGCAAAGTATTAACGTTTTCTACACCATTACACTAGTAAAGCATTTGTCTTACGGATTAAACCAGCTACTGCGTTGGTTCGGGTAGCACCCGCCTGACGTACAGTGATAACTTTCAGTAGGATGGTCCTTCACTTTACCTTGAATCTTGAGCCACTAAAAATACTTTGGGAGTCAAACATTTACTGAGGTCATCGATGTGTTGCGTTTTGATTTGCTGAGGTCAATGGCAGATTTAGGATAGAGCATGGTGGGTCACTTGTCCCACCAATTTTTTGACTTTTTTGTTTTTTTGTTTTTGTAATAAAAAATGGTTAATTTCACAAACGGTTACTGAACTTATACAAAAATAACAAAACGGTCACTGAAGTTCAAAATTTGCAAAAAGGGTCATTGAAGTTTCATACGCTTTTACAAAAGATCACTGAAGTTTAACTGTTTTTTTCACAAACAGTCACTGAAGGATCCTTATGCCTTTAATTCAAACATAAAGGACCAAAAAGAGCTACCCGAATTTTGGACAGCTTGGAG